CTCCTCGTGCCAACTTGGTTGCACAGCAGTTGCATTTTGCTCTGCAGCCAAAAAAACCAAGGACCTGGCAACAGAGCTGAATGCTAACACACTGGGCCAGCAGACAGCAGAGTACGTGAAGGGGATGGCACTGCACGGGGAAGGAAGCTTCACCTCTAGCCCTGCCCGCTGGCTGACGGATGGTAACTTAACAACTACTCGGAAACAGACAGCAACAACAGCGCGAGATAGCGCTGGAACACACGTGAAGCATTCCCTGCACAGACACACAAGCCTGGCAGCCCTTCTCCAGTCCAGGAATGGGAATACTCCTCCAAAGGTGTCCCCCCCGGGCCCCCATACTGATGTGTTTATTCATTGTGTGGCAGAAGCACGGAGCTACTCGAGATGCGTATCAAGGAGAGGCACTAACCTGGGTTTTGGTTCTCACCGTGCTCCCTGAAAGCACACTGTCTCATGACAACTTGTTTTGTTATGAAAACATAAGAAACAGGACAGAATGAATACAGTTTGAATAATAGCTTATTTAAAGTATTTTCCATAACATTTGCTTTTTTTTTCCCCTTTTTGTTAGATCACACTTAATATGATTCCACGACATCAATGCTGGGGATGAAATTGAAAGCTGTATTCTTCTAAATGTGTTCCTCACATTCCATTTTTTACAGAGCTGCCAGGGGCTATTCTGCATTCCCACAACTGCTACAAATGTAACATATTGTTTTGCAATAAAAATTAGCTATAAAAGTGTGAAAAATGCCAGAGATCCAAATGTGAGAAACAAGAGAAGGGGGTACAGCTTTCGCACCCTTTTAGTGGCCATTTTATTTATTTTTCAAATGGAATAGACATATTTATAGCTACTGTATTTCAATTATCTCTAATTTCACACATTTGATGCAAATTCCAGACATTTTAATTGCAAATGAGAAGGGAACTTATTTTTAAAAGTGGAGCAACACAACATTTCAGAGCTCCATTTTAATTCCAAATTTATCTCCAGCGCTGTTAAGAAACTTTTAAAACCTCATTTACACAATGACTTAAAATTAGGTGCAATTTCCAACAAAAACAATAACAAAAGCCCTCCATGCCAATTAGTTGCGTGGCCCCAACCTTTGTTTCACACATTCTTAACTCTTTGCTTTTTAAATTGGGATTTTTAGGTAGGGGAGTTGAGGAAGTCGAAATGACATTGTTAACGGGTGACAACAAGAGTCAGCGATTTAATAGTATTGTCCATAAGTGATGAAAATTAATACATTACCCACCCTACTTTCTCTTCCTGTCTCCATGCCTTTGGTAACCTGGGGCATGGGTTATTAGCACAATCCGTGCTTAGCAGTCACTCAGGGGGAAATTCTTTCAAGAGCATAAACCACAACCTAGCCTTTGGCTGGGTAAAAGCTCCCACTATACATTAAAAGCCATAGTGACAAAGGTTTGTCTTTTTCAAGCAGTATTCCCAGTAGCTTACTCTTCCTGAACATTAATAAGCATATGGCCTTCAATGCTAAATAAAATGTCTGGCAAATTTAAAACCAGTTGAACTTGTGTTGGTTGTAAGCAGGGGCGATTTCCTAATGGATCCTAAGGCTTCAACTCAAACTAAGGGTCTGGGATGTGATCTGTGATGCTGGGTTTGAGCAGATGGCATGTGCTGCATGTGAGACACTTGATACCTGTTCAGTTCCCTAGCAGCTTTGGCCTCAACCAACCAGTAAGACCTGCTTTTTTGGTAAATACTGCCTTAAATTTTGCCAACCAAAGTCCATCATCTAGAATCACTATTCCCAAACCATAAAACACAGACTGGAAATGCACTCTCTTTAAGCGGAAGTACTGGCTTTGGTACTATGCTTTGCCCTCAAGCAGTTACCCCATTCCTTTCTTGTACTAAGCACACACTTACGTTGATGTACACATATAGAGGTTGGTATTCACACACTCAACCACAGGTCTGAAAACACACGTGTGCCTATGAAGCTTTCTAAGCTGTGAATCCAGTGCTTGACTTCTCACTGCCCAATGAAATAGATCTTTTAAAGGGCTAACTACTTACGGAAATGCATACAATAATTTTATTGTAAATGGAAATTTACTGTCTGAAACGTGGAGTTTTTCTCTGCTTTCTTTCTATTTGGTAATTTATTTAAATGCATTCAAAAATGCATTCAAAAAAACGAGACACAGCACTTTGGTTAAGACATCTGTATTTCAAACCAACATCTTCAGACCTGTGAGCGGTTCTGTTAATAGTCTCTTTATTTGATTAAGGTAATCTGCTGCTGCACTGTCTTAATCTTTATCCACTACCTTTTAATCAATCAATATTTTAGGGTTATAGATTTGGAAGGGAGATGATTATTTTGTAGATAAACTCTCTAGGCACTGCACTGACATGGTGTGGTTGCATATTTAATATCTTCTCTGAGCATTCACAACTCCAGCAATGGAAGAATCTGTCCAGACAAAAAAAAGTTAAACCTTCAATTTTCAAAGCTGTGTGCAGGGATTTGGCCACCTGACTCCTATTAATGTCAATGGAAATTTAGAGGTAAGAAAAGCAATGTCTTTTCTCTCAGATCATTTCTTCTTTGAAAGGAACCAGAGAACAAGAGAAAGGAAATGAAAAGCAACTTCGTAGCACAGGCTGAGACCAGCAAGGCCTGCTCTTGAGGCAGGAAGGATACAGAAGTAGAACATTTGTTCACTAAATGAGTGAGCATCTCCACACAGATCAAACCAGTAAGGTATGAGAAGTTCAGAAAGAAAAAAAATGAGATTTTGTGGGTTTAAAATGTCATTTGAATATACATTTTTTAATTTTGTTCAGCCAAAATTATCTGTTGCTTATGATATTAATTTTGCTGCAGATAAAATTAGTTGTCAGACCTCTGTTTATGGCCTAATTACCTTTCGAAAGGGAAAAAAAGAAGGGTAGGAGAAATAAAAGGAATAACAATAAAATGCAGTTATCTGCCTCCTAGGAAGGGGGAATTCTAAGGGATGTGTTACATGTGTGCACTCACTAACACCATGCATGTGTTTCACATACGTGAAACCAGGTTTGATTGGGCTCTTCTGCCACTCCGGGCAGAACAGCTTTGCCTGTCCTCATTTTGTGCCTGGGTACAGGCAGGACAGGCCAAACCACCCTCTGTTACTTCTAAATCACTGATAAATAACTCTCTTCTTGAAATATTTATCCACTTGGATTCCAGGTTTGGAAACAGGAAATCATTTTTATATTGCTTAGAAGCAAGTTCTAGGCATGCCACTGAAAAGCTGCAAGACTTGAAAACAAACAGACAGAGCCTCATGTTATAGTGCCACAGACATCAGAAACTAGCACAGTTTGGACTCAGTCCTGTCTCTGCATATTGCCTGATCCTTCAGCAAGGAGCAAGTATCAGAAAGCAAAATTAATAGCTTTTCCCATCACACTAATCTTAACATTTAAATCGATTCATACAGCATCATGTTAACCAAGTTGCAGCACAATGCCATCTAAACTATGCATATATATAGAGATATATATGTATACCTGGCAAAGCTTAGGAGCAGTGCATAGAGACAGTGAGTGAAACTGACCTCAGACAGAAGTTGGCCTTTGAAGCGTTCAGTGTAGCATTGCCGTGAGATCTGCCCAGCTCCATTTTTGACTGTATTTGACAAACAACAAAATTCTGTGTGTGCTCATTTCACAAGATGGAAACGTCTCTTTCGTGGTAGGAAAACTCCTGCTCCCTGGAAGTGATTCTAATCTAATGTGACATGCGGTATTTGTAAACGTACTTTAGTGTCCCAACCTATTTACAGTGTTTACATAAAACCCCCCGAAATCTCCACATTCCCTGAAAAGTTAATCCAGTACAAATATTGACTGGCTGTCAATTGAGCATTATTGACTTGCTCCGGGACTGTGCTTTATTGCCTTAACTGATGAAACTTGTTTTCTTTGCTAAACTTAATTTCTTTTTGGCCCCGTTTGGATGAAATACTATTTGCTAGACTGCACCTCTTCTACTCACTGCTCTGGGGCTGCCTCTTCCAGTTAGCTGGAGTGGTAGGACAGCCAAAGCACTTTGCTGTATGCAACAAGAGCTTGCAGAAGGAAGCCAATAACCTAGTCTGCATTTTACAGAAAGGACCTGTGCCAACACAGTCCTATTTCCTATAAGTATTTGACCCAGACCAGCTCCAATAGGGCATCTGCCCTCATTGCAACCACGTATGGCTGTACAGAGCAGTGTTTCCAGAGAGGTTTGAAGGGTCTATGAACCCTTCAACAGGGTCTGTAAAAGGTAACTATGAGAAACAAACTGATAAGAGCTCAAATCCCTGCAGTGGCAGTCTACACCTTCACTGGGAGCTGCTTCTTTCTTCTTCAAGGAATCCTAATATTCTAAATCCTGAAAACCTTGGACGTCTTTGCATCTTGTTAGCAGGAATGGTACAAGCCGATTTGTACTATTTGCACCAGAAACCCAAGTTCACGAAACACACACGCTCATCGTGTTTTGAACGCCCAAGAAAACATTGTTCATCACTTCATGTTTTAAAACCCATAGTCTCTATCTATAGCAAGATGGAAACCAAAAATAGCAACTTTCACAACATTTCGATTTTGCAACAAATTCCATCAAACATTTTAAGTTTTGACCCCCGGGTCAAGTGAGACTGACGATAAATCTGAGAAAGGATTTCATACCATTAAGCTGCAAAACCCAAAATCTATTATGAAAGATTTATCAGAACTTATAAAAGAATGAACCCAAAGCATTTCAGCCAGTTCAAGGAAGGTCAAAAGCGTGGAATGGCAGACAGGGAAGGCATCCTGAATGACCACAGCAAGCTATAAAGCAGGTATTTCTCTCTGATGTCAAAACAACATTTACGAAGGAATTTCCTCAAAATTCCAGTTAAGAAAGACACAGGAGGTTTACTCGTTGTTGCGGGGTTTCTTTGGAAAGGAATGTAACAGAGCAGACACTTACCCTCTGCAGGAGCACTATCTGCTTTTCCACAAGGGGATGCTTTTCACAACACGTACAACTCCAGGGCAGTATTTGGTGCAGAGACGGGATGGTGCCACCATCTGTTCCTTCTCCTGTCCTCACCAACAGCCTGGTGAAAGAGGAGCAAAGAAAGAAGAAATGGAGATATGTCATATTGCTATGTCTTCATTTAATATTCTTTATAACATTTTATGTCTAGCTCAGGTAATGAGACAGTCCGATTCTTTTAATGAAACATACTCAGATTACCCTTTTGGGAACTGAACCAAGTCATGACAGTTTTGCTCTCAGATTGCCAACCACACAGCAAGTTTCTTCTTGCCTAATTTGTTCATTCCTTTTTTATTTTAGCCCTTGCAAGTCACCTTTTCTACAAAAGTTCCTTTCCTTTTTAATGAAAGGCTTCTAATCATCTGACAAATGGAATAATCTACCTTATAACACCAGCTACGTTAAGAATGCACCAGCCCTCTGTTAAGATACTCTGGCTAACATGAATAAGGTTAATATTATAGTGAATATTGAATAATGTCAGTATGTTCATTAGTTCACTGGTTAGTAGGCTTTGGAGGCTGTATTTGTTGCTCTTAAAAAAAATAAATCAGTCTTATAGGGAATTTTGCTTTTTTAATAAAAAAGGGGCAGATTTATGATAAGATTTTTCTTCTTCTAACAAAACATGTTATCATTCAAATCCTGTCAAACGAATTCAAGGTCTCTAAAGCAGTTTAGCTAACAGGCTCCACGAGTGCCACAGCAGAGCCACCCTAAGTCCCAGTTTGAAGTGACTGTCTCCTCTGCTTTTCCTTCAGCAGCCCCCGTGCTGCTCACTCTCACCCCATGTGAGGAAGAAGAACAAGCACTGTGTCAGATGGCAAGAGAGCAAAGCAGCTCTGCCCCACGAACCAACCTGCTAGAGAGACAAACTGATGCAACAATGGCTCTCCTCTGCCAGATGTCACTAGGAGTTACCATTTCCCTCTAAAATGATATTTGGATATTAGATGCGAGATGGGAAAATCAGCATCTTAACTGGCCACTTCCTTTTCTAACAGCTTTAGCCACAGAAAATGAAATTCTTGATTTATCCAATAGGTCTGATATTATCCTCATCCCTGTAAGTATGCTACTGCGTGAGAAGTGATTGTGCATCTGCAATTTAAGTAGCTGATGTAACACCTGCAGTTCTACCTCCAGCAACACAAAGTCTGCTGCTTTGCAGCAGCAGCTCTACCAAATTCTCCCGTCCTGCCCCAGCCACAATGGTTTCCCCTCGCATGTTCTTCTGTGGGAAACATGTTCTGTGACTTTTCCTTCCTCAGACACGTTCCCCATGTGCTCAATCAGAACATGGAACATCCATGATTATTTCTTCAGGCACAAAGGAGGATTTGCTCCCGCTCTGACTCACGGCATCCACACGTTCACAAGTGCAAATACAACCCCAGAGCGCTCCACAACTGTCACTGGGGCTGCATGGTACCCTCAAGCTGCAAACCCCCAAATCCAGAGGTGTGCACACACGTGTTGTGTACACACATATGTGTGAGGCACACACACAGGGGCAGGATGGGGGCCATGGGAGGAGGGTGTGCAGCACAACAAGTCTGGCTAGCACTGGGTTTTTAAGGTGAGACACAGCCATTTAACATACAGATGGCATATCAGTTTACATCTCACACTGACAGTTCCTGCTTGGTTATAGCAGGAAAGGGAGAAACAAATTATAACAGAGTCAGAAAGCTCCTGAAAAGCAAGGCTACAGGGGACCCCAGATGTACTTGAACCAACCACAGTCACACCATCAGCATGAGGTGTAAAAAGTGCCAAAACAAGACGAAAACACTGACACTCCATATGTTAAAAAGCTTGGGTTTTGCTGCAGCCCAAAATCCTTCCCTCCCTAAATACCTCTGCCTAATAATAATCATCATCATCATAAAAAATAAGCCCTCAAGATCAAATAGTCAGTGGTATCTTAAAAGAAAAAAAGGAGACAGGCTTAAGAAACCAAATCCTTGTAATAAATAATATATTATGAGTTAAGGAGATGAACTGACAAAGTGGCACACCTCTAATCTCTTCCCTGCAACAGCAAGAAGAGCTGAATCACTCGCACAACATTTTTCTTTAAGCATGTTCAGGGATTGCTCTTACACTCCAGTTTCCCAAAGAATATCATGCTCTACTAATTTACCAGACTGACGAAGCTACGCACCAGCAGCAGAGTCAGTTCTGACCTGCAATACTATCTCATAAAAACAAAATCTCTGAACATTTTCGCACTAGAATAGAATTAACTCTTTCAGGGCAGGTTTAAATCAGGGATGAGAGAATTAAGCCATTTAACAGATGCAAACTCAATTCTCTCTTTGGGATTCAGAGGTAAGGCCCTTCCCTCACAAGGCTCTGATGTTCAATGCTAAGTTGTCAAGCCCAGCAGCTGTGGCAGCTTGCTGATGGTGCTGACATCAAGCTGATGTAAATTTTGCATGTGGCCCATGCAGCACATCAAGGGCCATCTCGCTCAGGATTCCCAGTTTTTCCTTTAGTTCAGACTTGAATTGACACCTTCACCTGAACAGTGATTTTAAATGAGAATCTATTCAAGATCAAAAAACATCCAGCAGCATGGTAAAGATGCTAAGCACATAAAGAAAATTAACTAGCCCATATTTCTAAGCAATAACATCAATGTCACCTTTCTATACCTTCAGCCCCTTTGTCTAATGTCACTCAACAGATTCCTACTAGCGTTGTGCAGCTCTTTCAGGCAAGGAAGGGGTAAAGTCCATGAACAAGCACTTCCCATATTACACCAGGCCCATACTCCTGTACCAAGTGCACATCCCTTCAGTTCTTCTTGTCTCAGCATTGCCATCTGGGGAAAAAAGGTATCTACAACATTCAGGACCCCAAAGTATGACACTGAAGTGCACCAGTTTAGGGAAGAATACATCTTCCAAGCACTAATTGTTGAAGGAGGGAATGCTTCTGGTGTAATACACCACACACAGACTGTATAATGGAAACTCAGGCAGCAATAGAGAACAAAAGGCTGCGTGACACAGTGTTTATTTTTAGAATGAGTGACAGTTTGGCATCCTGGTACGATAGGTGCAAACAGAACAGAAACTCGATTTTAACAGCCCAGAAGCTGGACAGATTTTTTTGCTGTTGCTGTTATGTAATTATTTCTAGTATGGTGTCAGCACACTTTCATGCCTGCATAAGCCTGGTATATGGTGATTGCACTAAAGGCCCCTGGATCTCCATAGGTCAAGCAGTGAATAATGAGAATGGACCTTGTTAATATTTGAATTAAGTCAGAAATTACTTTGATGTGAAGGTGGTAATTCTTCACTGTGAGGGTGGTGAGGCACTGGAATAGGTTGCCCAAAGAAGTTGGAAATGCTCCATCTCTAGCCGTATTCACAGACAGGCTGGACAGAGCCTTGGGCGATATGGTCTAGAGTGAGGCATCCCTGCCCCTGGCAGGGGGTTGGAACTGGATGATCTTAAAGTCCTTTCCAACCCTAACTACTCTATGATTCTATGATCTTTTCTAATCTGTTTTCCTAGTCCATGAAAGCATTCCAACTTGAAAAGGTAGAAGGAAAAAAAAAGACAAAAGAAAAACAAAATAAAAGAAACAATAGCGTTTTGTTAGCAATAAAGTAGCAAATTTCAAATTAATTCTTTTTGACATTGGTTGTTAGTATTGCAGAGATGTTTGAATGATGCAATGAACATCCGAAACAACTGTGCCCACACAATTATGTCTAAATGGAGTTGTTAATGGTCATCAGCTCAGAAGACCACACTGACACAGCTAAGGCTCATAATCCAAGTCAAACACACACGAGAAGGAGAACCAAGAAAGTACAAGAATAGAATTAAAGGATTAAGACAATTCTGGAAAAAAAGAAAACAAAAACAAACAAACCCCAAGTCAGTGGCAAATACAAGTAATTGGCTTTGAAAGTTTGACTTTGCTTCAATAGTGCTAGAGGCAATCGCAAAGAGAGTTTAGGAACAAGAACATACTGTAGACAATATTTGCTTGTAGCACAGTGTTTCTCTATTGAAAATCAACTCAGCAAATCATTTTTGCTTGGAATAGAGTTTTTTAGGTCCCACAGAATCCTCCAGCAGTCACCAACACTCCCAAAGTAATGTTCTTTTGCACTGATGGGATTGTCTCACACGGCACAAGAAGCAAAGAAATAAGAGGGCCTGGAATGGCAGCCTCATGCTCTACCCTCTGCAGCCAGAATTCATGCTTTTCCTCCTATATGACATAGAATCATAGAATGGTTCGAATTGGAAAGGACATCAAGATCGTCCATTTCCAAACCCCTGCCATTCGCAGGGATGCCTCACACTAGACCATGTCACCCAAGGCTCTGTCCAGCCTGGCCTTGAACACTGACAAGGATGGGGCATTCACCACTTCTTTGGGCAACCTGTGCCAGTGCCTCACCACCCTCACATCCCACACCTCTACACTTTCTCACTGCTGCTCATTTCCTTCCCCTACTAAAGTCTTTGTATCCTTCCCACACCTCACTCTCTTTACAGCAACCCTTTACTTCCCCGTCGTTCAGTTGGTTTATTTTCTCACCATAACAAATGCGGATGCCAAAACCACGCTGCAAACCTGTGCGAGTGACAGCTATTGCTGCTGGCAAAGGCAGGAACTGCAGTTAGATTTTAAGAAGATTAACACACACACACAAAAAAAGGAAGAAAAATAAAAAAGCAGGAGAGGAAAAGGGGGAAGACACCAGGGTTTTTTTTCAGCCCAGCTATTTGAGACATAATTGCAGTAATTTTGTCTCTCCTCAATCTTCTCACTAGGCAAGCTTACTAAGGGAGGCAGATTTCGAGTTCTTAAAAGTGCAATAATTCACACTTTTCTAGAAGAACTTTTATTAGGTTGAAATTTACACTTGACCGTTGCAAAACTCTAGGACAAGACCTAAAACCTTAAGGAAAAAAAGAAGTCAGGGGAAGAAAAACAGACAGACAAGGAAGATCAAACCATATAGTGCTGGGGAAAGGGAAAAAAAAAAAAAGGAAGACAAAGATTTGCACTTTGTCTGGCAC